AGAGTAGAGGAGAGAGTGGGAGAGAGGGAGGGACAGAAGCAAGGAGAGGAGGGTTACAGAGTGACTGTGGAGGACGGTGTTTCTCTATTCCAGATACTTCTAAGATTGGAGATTCTTTTCTGGTGGGGAGACTCCGGGTCTGGCAGCCAGTTAGGCAGTGGCAAAATAAAATGGACTGCGAGAGACAAACGTTCCAGCCACCTTTCCGCCGCCCGGAGATCCAGGAGCTGTTCTCCAGCCAATTCGTTTCCCAGCTGGAGACTCTGAGCGCGCTGGACTACGAGAGCCCAGGGAGCGCCTAGAAGCTAGCTGCTCCTCGGAGATGCCTTCGCCTGAGCAGTAAGAACTTCCTGCTTGAGTCCCTGCATCCCCTCCCCAGTTGAAACTCCCCAGGAAAGAGGGGCGTAAGACCCCAGGGGGAGGGGCGAGGGGGATACTGGCGCAGCTCTTTCTCCCCTCCCCTCCTCTGCCGGGCGCGCAGGCATGGATGTGCTCAGCCCCTTACAGGGCAACAACACCACGTCGTCCCAGGGTCCCTTCGGGGCACGCGCCAACGCTACTGGCATCTCCGACGTGACCTTCAGCTACCAAGTGATCACCTCTCTGCTGCTGGGCACGCTCATCTTCTGCGCGGTGCTGGGCAATGCGTGCGTGGTGGCCGCCATAGCCTTGGAGCGCTCCCTGCAGAACGTGGCGAACTATCTTATAGGCTCGCTGGCCGTCACAGACCTCATGGTGTCGGTGCTGGTGCTGCCCATGGCCGCGTTGTACCAGGTGCTCAACAAGTGGACTCTGGGACAGGTCACCTGTGACCTGTTCATCGCCCTCGACGTGCTGTGCTGCACCTCGTCCATCCTGCACCTGTGCGCTATCGCGCTGGACAGGTACTGGGCCATCACAGACCCCATCGACTACGTGAACAAGAGGACGCCCCGGCGCGCAGCTGCACTCATCTCGCTCACCTGGCTCATTGGCTTCCTCATCTCCATCCCGCCCATGCTGGGCTGGCGTACCCCGGAAGACCGCTCGGACCCCGACGCGTGCACCATCAGCAAGGACCATGGCTACACTATTTACTCCACCTTTGGCGCTTTCTACATCCCGCTGCTGCTCATGCTGGTTCTCTACGGGCGCATCTTCCGAGCCGCGCGATTCCGCATCCGCAAGACAGTCAAGAAGGAGGAGAAGAAGGTAGCCAACAACCGCCTTGGGGCGTCGCCAGCCCCGCAGCCCAGAAAGAGCGTAAATGGTGAGCCGGGTAGCAAAGACTGGAGGCATGGCATGGAGAACAAGGCAACAGGGGCTCCGTGCGCCAATGGAGCCGCGAGACAGGGCGAAGAAGGAGCCGCCCTGGAGGTGATCGAAGTGCACCGGGTGGTCAACTCCAAAGAGCACCTGCCGCTGCCCAGCGAGGCCGGTGCTGTCCCCTGCGTCCCCGCCTCCTTCGAGAAGAAAAATGAGCGCAACGCCGAGGCCAAGCGTAAGATGGCCCTGGCCCGCGAGAGGAAGACGGTGAAGACGCTGGGCATCATCATGGGCACCTTCATCCTCTGCTGGTTGCCCTTCTTCATCGTGGCCCTGGTCCTGCCCTTCTGCGAAAGCAGCTGCCACATGCCCACCCTGTTGGGCGCCATAATCAACTGGCTGGGCTACTCCAACTCTCTGCTCAACCCTGTCATTTACGCCTACTTCAACAAGGACTTCCAAAACGCATTTAAGAAGATCATCAAGTGCAAGTTCTGCCGCCGATGATGATGGAGGAGTAGCTGGCGCTTAGGCCCACTCCACCCAGCCTGCCTCCCCTAGCCCTCTGGAGTCAAAACCTTTGCTACTTGTCCTCTAACATTCACAGCTGCTCCGCGCGCTGCTTCCAGACCCCCTCCCCCTCCCCCAGCCCTCTTTTCCCAGCGGGGAAGGAGGGAGCCCCGTGCAAAGAGGCTACAGCCGCGGGTCAAGAGAGTCTGGGAAAAACCTCGAGTCTGTGAGAGGCGACCTTGGCTCAAACTTTGGTCTGGGAATCAGTTTCGATTCCAGCAATTGCCTCCTCCCTCTTCTGCCCCCAAATCTTCGCGGCGGAAGTTTAAGCCTTACCCGTTCAAGGCAAAAAAATCCACACAGAAGAAGAAAGTGTACACCCAGCCGCCGCGCCCACTAAAGGCTCCCACCTGATCGCCTCACTGCTACAACTTGAACTTAAGGTTCAGGACTTTGCTTCATTCCCCAGCAACCCCATCCCCGCCCGCCTTCTTGCCCTAGAAACGTTCACTGTTTTTGCGGTCTCATCCCTTATTTCCTTTTCCTTCTTCCCTTTATGCCCTCGCCAGTCCCTATGCACTAAATTGCTAGTCGGGAAATCTGGGAGGGTCTGCTTTTCCCGGTGCCTAAGGTGTCCCCGGGAACCTCCGCCTCCTGGTGCAGACTCCCAGAGTAACTCTCCCGGGAACAGCCCCATGCTTTGTTTTCTTGGATTCAAAACAAGTGGCTGGAAGTTGTCTCTTAGAGTGGACCTGTAAGTACAACGCTAGACCAGTGGGGCAGAGCGAGGTAGAACGAATTTACCCTTGCCTGCCTTGGTGTCAGCACTCACCAAAGAAACTGACAGTCTTTGGGAAGGGAGAGCGGACTTCTATTATTATAGGTTGCTGGCGAGTCTGAACTGGCTGGTATCGCCACTTACCTACTGTGGGAGGCGCACGCCGACCACGCTGCGCGCGCTGGGGCAAGGCGGGGTGGGGCGTGCCACGTGCCGGGAATCCCCGAGACTTCCGCCCTCTCTCAGGTCTGGCGTTCGCTCAGCGCGCACTAAAAACTAATCCCGACTGGAGCCATCTCTCCGCCTACGCCCCAGGACCAGCTGAAGAGAGGGTAAACAACAGTTAAGGTTTGCGGAAGCCGGCGCTTCTGGGTCCAGCCAAGCTCTAGAGACCAGAAAGACCAGCAAGTCCCACGGGGTGGCGTTTTCCAGGTGGGCCCGCGCTCTAGCTGGCAGCTGGCACTCCCCTTGGAAACTGAAAGAGCAAGTTTATCCAAAAGAAGCCCATTCTTTTCCTCCTAATTCCACCCCGCGCCCTTTTCGGATAGGGAGATAGGTCTGTTTAGCGCATCCTAACACTGCACAGGATTTGTTCTGCAGGACGTCCAGGACACTTAGTTAACCACGACTTTGGTTCCCAAAAGGGAAATTTGGGCTTTCAATAGAATGGGCCCCTGATCTGTGACCTCACAGGCGCTTACTTTAAATAATGAGGCACTAAAGAACTAGCTAGGTGTGCTCTCTCTGCGGAGTCCCGGAGACTCTTGTACATTTGCTCCTTGGCCTGAGTGCCCTGCAACACAGGTTTGCCGGGAAACCGGCCTCTTGCCATTTGAATACGTGGAGCACTCCAAGCTTTCTTCCCCTTAAAAGTATTCTTTCAGCCTTGCCACTCCTGCTGAAAAACTGGTTATCTTTACTGCCCCCAGAAGGGAAGTTTTTCGGTGCTCCATTTGAATGTAAATTTCCATCCATGTGACCGGGGTCAAGAGGTTTGTTATAGTTAGATTCGTTTTCCAATAATTGCACAACATTATTGATTCTTACTCCCCTCTCCCTTCATGTGTACCTTTTGAATGATTGCTTGGGCTGTTATGAGAGCCGTGTTGCAAAAGTTGCCAATGAAAAAAGTTCACTTGTGTTAAAATTAAGATGAAAAGACAGCTCTATCACTTGTAGCCATTTTATTGTTTGCCAAACTGAACAAAGCTCCATTTGGTATCTTTTTCTCAGACCGAAACTGAGAGTAAGCATCGTATCCCATTAATATAGAGAAAGTATAAGAACTATGGGAACTTAGTGGATGGTTTGTCTGTGAATATGTAATGCTTGAAAGGGACTATGGTGGATAAAATGAGGGAGACTTCTCAAGTCCATCAGTTATTTATTCGAAAATTCATTTTCTTTTTTGCTCACAATAATTTAAGTAGAGCTATATGAAAAAACAAACTTTGCTGTATGTCTTTCTAAATTTTAAGAACAAATTCTGCATATAAAATAATTCAAGTCTGAAATTTGCTCATCCAAATTATGCCTTGGTCAGCATTTGAAGTCTTGAGACTTCTATTTATTTGTGTCTTTTACAGAACTATGGCAATGGCTTTTGGGCATTTGTTCTTCCTGCTTTGGAGGATTTAAACAAGAATGGGGAAGGAGTATCCAGCTGGAGTATATAATTGCCAAAGCAATAGAGGAATTTGAGGAATAAGTGCAAAAGAGCTGCAGAGCACTAAAGAACCCCTGATGCTTTTTTTTTTCCTTTTAAAGTATTGCATTAAGGTAAAGTATATATGCATTAAAACTGACCTTTACTCTTCCCTGTGACAATAAAGGACTTTAATCATTGTAATGCTACAATAAACTGATAACACATGCATCTTTATTTTAATCAGACTCACTGTCTACTTGTATTTATTTGTATAATTTTAAAGCTGAATTTAAAAAATACAGTTATCAGGAGAAGATCCTGCTGTACACATCAGGGATCTGTCACTTAGAGAAACAAATTTAGTTTTAGTACAGAAACTCATCGTAGATGAGTGAGTTCTTTTTTAAAAATTCCTGTCTCTGGAATTAGAAGGTAACATTTCATCTTTTAGCCGTGAAACCATGCATTTTCCCTGAAACCTACTAGTGAAGATTTAGGCATCTGTCTAATTAATATGGACACAGGGTGGTGGACTTATAGAAGAGAAATGCAGCCTCTGGTATAAGCACCAGGGGCTCATGCTGCCTTTTTAAAGCAGTGGACGGTGATGAGCCACCTTCTCTATCTTCCCCCCAATGTCCAGCTGGAAGAAAATAGCCTCCCTGGTTTCAAATGAAGTAACACATTGTTTTGGGGTTTGTCACTCATTAAAAGTGGAAGGGCAACTTCCTTTCTGGCTGGGTCTCATTTGATAGTGGGGTTTTATATGTAAGATCTTTTACTATATTAAAATTAATTCAAATGCTCTCTTTTTCCATACTGGAATCATCAGTAACGCCTTTTGTTTCCCATGTTATGTTTGTTAATTTCACTGTTTTCTGGTGTCAGAATGAGGGCTGCAGGGCAGGGTAAACCCTAGTAAGCCTCAAGTGGAAAACAAAGGTCAGAGCTATTATGGCCACAGAAGAGGGCACTCTGAAGCTGTGTGAAGCCTAATTTAGGCTATGTGTATGTACATACATATTCTCCCAATAATGAAAAGGTAAGACAGGAATTGAGGGTTTTTCATTTGAAAAGTGTTACATAAACACATCCCTGACCTTGAGTAAAATGATGCATTTGGCACATTTGTCTTCTAGATTCTGGATATTTTCCTTCTTGGCCTCTGCTCTCTGCCCTGGTGTCTCTTCCTCCAAGGAGACAGTGGCTTTTTGTTTCCTACAGGCCTTCCTGAACCTTTATCAACACTCCAATTAGGAGAGAGAGAATTTTTATCAGTTAATTCCAGTGTGACTAACAAGCCCAGATAACCAGTTAGCAGCTATCACATGTGAGGCTCTGTTGGATAATGTTGAAATATGGGACTATAAAGTAATATAAGCTGCTGTTGACACATTGAAGGAGTTTCCAACCTACTTGGGTATTCAAGAATAAACTACTAAGGTTAAGTAAACACAGCAGAATATATGTATCATCTAAACAGGACAAATCACAGGAATTTGGCTCTATAAGGATTCAAAGGACAAGATCACTGTGGGCTGGGCGTGGGTAGGGAAGATTAGGTAGGGAAAGCTGTG